GGGGGGAGAAAGGAGAGAGATAAGGGGTGAAGGACGTACATAGACAGGAAGAAAACAAGAGGGGGGAGAAGGAGACAGGAGGAGAGAAGCCAAAAGTTAGGCTCTCTTCTCACACAATTCTAGGAACCCACAGCATGAGCTGTCTGGATCTCTTTCCATGAGGAGGTTTCGCCCCAGCCCAAGACTCACTTTACTTTTTGTCTAAAAGACCAGCTGTCTGCAGAAAACACCACCAAAGATAGCACATGCACTACTAATAGCTCGTCCATCAATGTCTGACAATGACCAATACATCAGCAGAGGAGAATATTTCTCCAGCGAAAAGAAGAAGATGAAGAATTAAAACACTACCAAAGATAGTACATTTCAAGTTTATTTATCATTAAGACTTTTCGAGATTATAACCCCCCCCCCCCCCCTTTCAGAGGACTGCGAAGCACGACCCACACTGTAACAGTCTGGAATGGGCAAACTACGACCCGTGGGCAGACCAAGTAATTAAGTGCGCTTTTTTAGTTTTAGTATGAATTTTACGGCCCTTGCAACACAATTATATTATATAAGTGTCCAAGATTAGAGGTGTTACAAGAGAGTAACAATCACAAAAAAGAGGCAAGAGAGTTGAAGAGCATACCTGTATGTTTGAAAGGAAAGAAGAAGCAAACCACACCAGAGCACCCGTAAACCACCCACATTTAACTCCTAAAAGACGTCATATGTCCGACCAGCGGCGACATTTTCAACCGTCATCAAATCAGAAACGCCAATTTGCATATTTTATCATATTATGCATGATGTTATTCCCTACCTTTTAAAGTTTCAGATAAAGAAATCAAAATTGAAAAATATGTTAGAACAATGAATGAAGATACGCTCATTTGTTTAAATCGTTCAATATCTTCAAGAGTTGTAGAATTACCAACATGCGCGTCGTCAAAGAGTTAATCATGAATGAGGCCGGTGAGTCAATGATCAATACAAATTGTGACGTCTTGAAAATAAAAATGAACAGAGTCCGGCCCAGCGTGAAGCAATACATTCATAATTCATTTCTATCATTTTATTACACGAAATGCCCTTGACTAACATAATTAATATACTGCTAGGCTGCCGGTGTCGTAATGGAGAGATTCCGGGTTCGTGGGTTCGAGCCTCAGATCGGTCGGACGTTGTGTCCTGGGCATTTTACACGAATTTCCCACTTGGCTTAGTTCTTTCGGAGAAGGACGTTAATTAAACTCGGAGGTCCCGCCTCTTAACGTAATACTGTTGTTATAAGGGGCGTTTAACCTATATCATTTCATCATTTTTCACATATATATGCTGCTGTAGTGTCAGTTTTATTATCTCTTTTGAGAGCTTGGGTATAATCAAAGAAAACTCTCTGGTATAATTCTAGACGCCAAGTGTATAAAGGTATAATTTCATCAAATTTCACCCTATTTCCTTCTGCTTCGGCCATCAAGATGACGATATTCAGAATCTGTTAATCCAGCCTACGACTTATATGTAATATATAAATACACACACACACGCTTGCTCTCATGTCTACTGTAACCTGTGACCGAAATACAATGTATAAACAAACATCCCGGTCGACGTCACTTTGCCAGACGAGATTGCGCTCGTTCCCGCCAACATAATTAACCTGCAGCTGATAAGAAAGAGCTGCTCCAGTCTGTTCGGGTCGTGTGTGATGACATCACTGATGTTGTGACGTAGGTTGGTCGTGGCGGGGTCCACACAAAGGTTAAGGATGGAGTACACTTGTCCGATCTGTCAGATCATCGCGGGCGGACCAGGTCGGACGATTGGAATAGCAAAAAGCACACGAGTCTAATTTTAGGAAATTGACCCTTCCTGCACCATGCGCGTACTACTACTACTACTACTACTACTACTACTACTACTACTACTACTACTACTA